CAGTGGTTTGGACATGTCCAGAGGAGGGACAGTGGTTTGGACATGTCCAGATGAGGGACAGTGGTTTGGACATGTCCAGAGGAGGGACAGTGGTTTGGACATGTCCAGAGGAGGGACAGTGGTTTGGACATGTCCAGAGGAGGGACAGTGGTTTGGACATGTCCAGAGGAGGGACAGTGGGTATATTGGCAGAAGGATGTTAGAAATGCAGCTGCCAGGAAAAAGACAAAGAGGAGATATCTGGATGCAGTTAGAGAGGACATGGAGGTAGTTGGAGTGAGGACAGAGGACAGAGTGAGATGGACGAGGATGACTGCTGAAGAGGGAACAGCAGAAGGTTTGGTTATTTGTATGAAGAGCCAGAAAAAAGTTTGTGTAATGGAAAAAGAACCAGTCGAATCTTCATGTTCTTTGTCAAAGCTCTGATTATAACTGTCTGATAGTTAAAAAGAATGTTTTACATTAGTGCCACATTTTTAGACAGATGTTAAGGGTCTGACAGGCAGATAACTCCATTCATACTGAGACCTTCAAACTTCTAGTGTAGGTTTTACCCTTCTTTTTTTTTAATCTTCTGCAGCAGGTCCAGGTCGCACCGTCGTCTATTCCCTGGCTGATTCTGCAGGAGGGTTGTTCTCCATCGATGAGGTCTCAGGCATCGTGGTCCTGGAACACACTCTTGATCGTGAAGTCCAGCCATCTCATCAGATCACAGTTTGTGCATCTGATCAGGGAACACCACGGCCTCTCTTCTCTCTAGTGAACGTCACCATCACTGTGCTGGATATCAATGACAACCCGCCCGTGTTTGAGCGCCGTGATCAGATGGCAACGGTGCCAGAGGATGTGCGAGCGGGCACTGAGGTTCTGAGAGTTTATGCTGCCAGCAAAGACATCGGGACCAATGCAGAGATCACTTACAGCATCCGATCAGGCAACGAGCACAGAAAGTTCCACATCCACCCTCTGACCGGTGAGTAACGTGGAGCTCTTATCCACTGCAACAGTCCATAAATGTAAACCAGTTCTTTGAGTTGCTTTGGATAGCTACCACAGCAAAGGAACAAACATTTAGTTGTGCTGAGTGTGAACGGACCTCTGCTGGTACAGCTCTGGGATCTTCTTCTGTTTGTGTTCAGTGTTGGTTCATAATGTTCTTTTAGAGTTCCAACAAACACTTTAGAACATGAATAAATATAAAAAGAAGCAAGAATCAACATAAGAATAAAATATATAATGAAAAAATTCTTGGCTAACACTTTTTCATTAATTCATTCATTAAGTAAATTTAAAACATACTAGATAAAGTAAATAATTAGTTTTTAGTTTGTTTGGGCTGTGATCATTTTCTTTAGCTTCTGTCCTGCTCGTGTTTTCTTGACACATCTGAACGTTGTTTCATTTTTCTGCTTTCTGAATCAGTTTTATACAAACTGAGCCAGGAGTACTGGTAATACTGGATGTTATGCATGAACTCACCCATCACAGCTAAACTTCAAAAGAAATAATATTTGAACACAGAGCATCAAGGTAAGAACTTTATGAAGCAACAAGAGTCTGAGGTGCGCCTCTTTAATTTTACCAACAGCAACGTTCCATTTATTTACACAGAAGGAGTGGGACCATACCCAAGATGGAGAAAGTTGGTCCTACTCTGGTTTTGACATCTGGTTTCATGTCAAAGGTCTATCACCATAATACAACATTTGACTGCAGCGCTGTAGTCTTTCAACACCCACCCCCAACACACCCCAACACACCCATCCTCAGTGCTTCCACCTGTACAACGACTGCTTATAAACCAGACAGACCCACATTTGAACCCTGTACTTAAAATCCTCATAACATTGTCATCACTGTGTTGCCACAACCTCATGTTGCCAGGTCAGTCAAAAGCTCGACTTTAGCTACGATGTAATTGATGAAGCTGACGTTGACTACAGAGGCTGTTTGCTTATCGAACTTCAAATCCTTGTCAAAAGTCACTTCCAAGTTTTACCTGCGGCTCAGGTAACGGTGACAGCGCAAACTAATAAAATCTCCTTCACCAGTAAGCCATTATTCTTCCTTTTCCATCACAGTGTGTTATTTGCAGCTCCCCCGCAGCTTAGAATCATACAAAAACACTTCAAAACACATTTCTCTGTCAGCAAGTGTCCTCTGATCTTGGATAAACGATGTAAATACATAAGAACTAAAGAAACAGTTAAAAATATACTTAGACAGCAATGGGAATTTGTTGAACAGGGTAAGAAAACTGTACATCACAAAAAAAAGAACATTTTCAAAGTTTCACTGACAGAATGTTGGACTTTACAGGCCTGAACTGGCATTTTGAGATGTTTAGCTCTTTTACACGCTCACAGGGTTTAATGCCGTCCTGACGTCGTGTCACTGAGCCCAGGCTGAGCTGGGAAGAGCGTCTGACGTAAAACCATTGTCATATTATTCCTACGAGTTCACTTCTGTGGCAATTTATGAAAAAGAGACAAACAAAACTAAAAACGATTACGTACTGTAACCCCAGATTCTATGAGTA